TCAGATGGCAGGTTGCTATCACATATTGCACAGTTTGTTCATTTGCAAAGGTTCTGTCTATCAGGTTCCATCAGCTCCAGTTTTAGCAGAATGAGACCATCCCACTATCTCATTTTTTAAGTTTCAAGTTAACTATTCTATGTCACAAAGCCATGCATTTGCTAAGCTTCCATCTATTGGGATACATCAGCAGTTGTTTTAGTAGAATGAGATTATCCTTCACAATTCTGTTGGCTGTCTATCCATTATTGTCTTTTTCTCACTCTTAAATAAAGGTTGGATATACAATGTGGCAGGAGTGGTCAATTAAAATGGAAATACAAAATGACATTGTATGTACTGCAGAGGAGTAAAATGATAGATGGCCTCATTCACCCTGCTGTCCTATCCACCCTTGTCTCATCTGCCAGAGGCCCTAAGAGATCAATGAGATCATCACCCAATGCTTGTCCATATACCCAAATACACAGAGCCTCCAGCTCATGAGCCATCCTGTCCAGCATCTGCATGGTTTCATCATGTTGTATTTGGAAATCTCCTCATAGTATTGGCAGTGGGCCTCAGCATCACAGAGTCAATGTTCCAAATCTTCAATTCACTCTTCAATTGTGTTGGACATTTGTGACACCTTGGTGATTGGGGCACAGACAGGTGATGGTGTGCTGGGAGTTGCAGTGGTCATGAGTTGGACAGGTGCTGCTGTTATTGATGGGTGGGTGTCTGCTTTGAATACAAGGGTTAACCATGATAATTAGCATAAATGTGGAGTGATTAAACATACCTGCTATCATAGATTCCTCTACCTCCTGTGCAACAGATGGGCCAGCCTCAACAATCAAATCCACTCATACAGTGGATGGGATTGGGTGGGAATCCCTGTGATTGAATGCAGGAATACAAATCTCTGAATAAAATTTGAGTCAGCATAAATACATGAAATTGTGAACATACTGAGTGAAGATCCCTCAGGGATCATCTCTCCCTGGTTGGAGGGCCCAACCCCAACATTGATGGCTTTGGAAGCCATCAAAACATGTCACTTTGGGGGATATTCCTTTGGGCTTTGGGATTCTTGGGCCTCCATCATTGGGGACAGACTTCAAGCTTGCTTTTTTCCCCTGGCTTGTGATGGATTCTGTTGAGTTGGAGCAGCAATCCCACCTTTGGCATGGCTACATCAAATCTTGCAACTGTTGCACAGGAAGCAGGACTTCCCAGGGTTCTTGTAGCATTGGATCTTGTGTCTGTGGCATGACAGGCAGGAATGGGGGTTGGGGGAAGGCATCCTTCTGGCAGCTACAACAGCATGACCATATAGTCTGTCTGATGGTAGATGAGGCTTGCATTTCAATTGGCCTTGAGCAGGAACATCTCTTCATCATCAGTTTCTGCTGTTGCCTTCCTAGAGTGGGATCAATGTCTGGATTGATGGGACATCATTTTTGCAGCAGCTTTGCACTTCTGCCTGCCTTGTGCTGGTTCTTCCTCATCATCCTCCTTCTCTGGCACCTCATCTTCACCCTCATTGTCAACCCCCATCCTGTGCAAGCTCTCCACTGTGATTTGTTCCACCTCTGCCTTGGTCACTTTCCATTTTCCTTTGTCACTCATAGGCATTTCAGTCTCTTGAGTGGGTGGTGTTGGTGTTGGCACCACACAGGGCATAGGGAGGCCCAACCAGTGGTAGTCATATTGATGCTCAATGATGTTGAGCCACTTGTGGTTGGTGACATTGGTTTTGGAAGGGGATAGGGCAGTCTTCCACTCAGGCTACAGGTGCTCAATTGAGCCAAGGTCTTCATGCCACTTTAAGAACATGTCAACACTGATGAGGGTCATTGGAATCTCATCCATCCTAGTGATGAGGTTGCATACAGCATCCTGAATGCATCAGTTAGTGAAAAAATGTGATGATGCTATGATGCACTAGTTCATCATTTATTGCCTTGATGGCACCTCTCCACTTCACAACCTTGTCTGCCTTTCCCAGCTTGCTGCTTTCCATGATATCCTTGAAGTAAATTTGAAGGATGCAGTTGGCCACAGCATCAAGCTCAGGCAATTTCTTGAAGAGCATGCAAGACAATGATGATGACATGTTTCTGATGATGAGATGATGGAGTAGTTCAATGGTGAGAATGGTGATGGTGATTGGAGAGTGGAAGAGTCAGAGGTTAAAGACAGATGATGAGATATGTGGATGTCTCATTTTTTATCCCACCTATGAATGATTCCCATGGCATGATGGCAATACTGGTACAAGTCAATAATCCTGAATGCATATATGAAGCACAGGCTCAGATAAAAATATGATGTGTTGTTCTGGAATAGCATTGCCATTTGTTTTGCATGTTTCCCATCAGCTCCAATGGCAGAGTCCTGGCTTGCAGCTACATAGACCAGTGCCTGAGATTCCAACTGAATAAGCAAATTGTCCAGCATGAAACACAGTTTATAGTGGGAAATTCAGATACTCTATAGTGCAAGAGGTTCCACTTTCTTCATTTCTTGTCTTCCTGGGCCCATCTTACATTGTGACAGGGGGATAACCCAATTATGGATAGGCCCACCCATTTGTGGTGAGCAATCTATGATATGACAGATTGGCCTGTCTTATGTAGTGCCAAGGGTTTGTAATCCTGCAATGGATGGATCAGCCCATCTTATGTTGTAACACTGGTTTTTGTTTTCCCTTATCTGCTGCCTGAGAACACCATGGATGGGCCCATCCTTATGTAGATCCCTTTGATCTCCCTTTCTGCTGCCTAAGAATACCATACATGGACTCATCCTTATGTTGTGACAGGGGTGCATCTTGCTAGATGGGCCCATCCATTTGTTGTGATGATACACATGATACTACTGAAGGGCCTGTCCTTATGTTGTGACACTATTACACAACATTACTGATGGGCCTGTCTTTATGTTTCAACAGGGGTTCCCTAGGAGAATTCATCTTGGTCAGGAGTTTAGGGGTTGAGGGACCTGTTTTGTTTCTTGCTTTTGTTTTTGTGTTTGTACCACTGGACTTAGTGGCAAGCAGCTGCATTGCTGACTAAGCATGCATGCTGTGTTCATGCAAGTTCAGTTTACCAACAGGCAATCCATGTCAGAGGCCCTCAGTAGTAGGGTGACATAGTCTTGCATTTTGGTGAGTTTTTGAGGTTAGAATTATTACTTTGGGGAGTACCCAAAGGGCCAGGAGGACTGGCAAGAGATATTGGACAGACAGAGTTAAGTATTCTTTTGAGTTTGCATTTTTTTTACAATTTTCACTACACTTCTTTTCTCCAGCAAGAACCTCTTGAGTTGAGCACAAATCTCACCCATCACTGACAATTACTACTTCTAGGTAATATCTATTACCTATTCCTACATCTGGAGCCCACTGTGAGGGGGGTTCTGTTCATTTTGGGGAAAGAAGCCACTTCCTTATCACTGCATGAATTTTTTCTGGATTAGGTTGGACAAGCTAAGTGTTTAATGTCTTGATTCTAGCTACAGTCTATACTCAGGACCTCTGAAATTTTCAGAACTATTTTTTGAGCAGCAAATGTTGAGCAAGCAATGAAGTTGAAGATCCCTTGAGCCAAGAAGCAAGTCTGAAGGGAAATTAATAGTCAAGTTTTTGCAAAGAAGCCATGAGAATGTGCTGAAAGAGCTTGAGGGAATGCCACTGAGGCATTCAAGGGACACACCATGGTTCTCAGGACAAGCATCTGACTTTTTTAGGTATTTTGAAGAGGTTTGAAGTCTTTACAAGCAAGATAATTGCTTTGATGACCAAGAGTGGGCCAAATGGGCTTGCTGGTATGCAGGCAGTGAAGTCTCTGAGTCATGGTATGATTTTGTCAAGGATCAGTTGAATTGGCCTGAATTTGTGGTGGCCATTGCATGTTTGTATCCTGGGTCCTGGAAACTGTATCAATAGCATTTGAAGAGTGACCTTTACAGCCTTGTTGACAGTTGAGCAAGCAGAAAGATTTGCACAGAGGAGGAACTAATGAACTACAGACTTTATTTCCTAGATTTGGCAACATATCTACAGGTTTTGAAACAACTTGAGGGAGATGAACTTGAAGACCTCTATTTGCAAGGTTTCAACAAAGAATTTCAGTGCAACATTTTGTGGAAGGTGCAATGCAACAATCAATGGTGACATTCTGATGACCCATGGCCCATGCAACAGGTAATGCATGCAGCCACAAGACTATTACACAAAGGGTTTCATTCAGAGTGAGTGCAAACAAGCCCAGGAGACCACTACGAGCCACAAAGCAACCAGGAATGGAGTTTGGACAAGCAACATCTACCTATGAAGTGTTTTTCATCCACAGCTACACATGACTCACTGACAACCAATGTGCAGGGACCTTCAGATTTATCAGGATACATAGAATGTGAGAAAGTCCCAAAAGTAGCTTTGACAAGTTATGCACAGCCATGCAGTCCATCCAAGAAGGCAAATAATGAACACTGAAGTCCTGGAAGGCTCATTGAAGCAGCAGCAGCAGCCTGTTTTGAGACAAAAAAGTTTTCTTTGAGTATGAGTGAACTACTGACTGCTGAGTTACAGGAAGTGCCAAAGCTCAAGCAAGTCAAACCTGTAGTAGTGGAAGAACTACTCATGACAAAGGTCCCAATCAAATTCAAGGTGAGCAAGTGCACTCAAAGGGGTTCCTTGTTTTGTTTTCACCAAAGTCCTCAATTAGCTACTGATACTATTGGTATAAGGTATTGAAGTCTTAAAGAAGACCACATCAAAGCTCCTGCAGTCAGCTGGGAAGCACACCAGTTAACTGATGATCTGCTCATATCAAAGATTCCACTCGAGTTTGAAGCAGAAAGGCTTGAAGAGTACATGAAACCCACAAGAGTCAAAGTTGAAGAGCTCACAGACAGTCTCGAAGCAAAAAGGTTGGAAGACAAAGGGATCGTTGACTCATACAGAATGCTGCAGTGCATGAATCATACCAAGTCAAAGGTTGTTGCAAGAAGGATCAGGATCGAGGAGCCATTGAAGCTCGTCATGCAAAGGAAGCTGCTGGAAGAAACTCTGCAAGTCGAAATGTTGAAGCATGTGGTGAGGGTGGACGACCTCGCACTTAAAATGTTCCGCAACCATGCGGTGCCAGCAATATATATTTTATTCAGGAATTCGTCGAGAGTATCGACACGCACACTCGGTATTAGGACTTGTGCAGAGTCCTGCAATGTTGACTAAGCAGAGTCGCGTGACCGCTCTGCGCGTCGTGGCCACGCGCACTCAAGTACTACATATTGACACATCTAGTATTATAGGCCGACAACGCAAGAGCGCGGCGATCGAAGGATATGAAGAATGGGGCGAACAATGTGCCATGCGCGAGATACTGCGGTTACGAGCGATGGTGACCAGGGCGAGGGCAACAGTAGCATCGACCAGAGCAACGACGACGACGACGACGACGCTACTTAGCGCAGATCAACAGCTGTACAAGATAGGAAGCGCCATGCTATGGAAGTGGGGCGCGAGGAGCACGGGTACTGAGCTCGACAGCTCAGAGGTTCATTTCGACTTCGAGACGCTTTACTTACATCTACGTTATTCTAGTGAAAATGGCTATATACGACGAAGACCATATGACATCCATACGATCGCGATACTAGGAACGACGACGACGATTACACTGAGCGCGGATCAACGCCCATGCAAGAGTGGAAGTGCCGTTTGATGGAGACGAGGTGCGAGGAGTGCAGATGGAGAGCCCGACGGCTCACAGGTTCGTTTTGATTTCGAAACGTTTTACTTACATCTACGCTATTCTAGGGAGAACAAGTGTATGCGACGAAGAGCAACCCACATCCGGGCATTCGCAATTCAAGGGCCTACGACGAACTACAAGCGAGCGATGGCGACAACACCGAGAGCGACAACGGCGATGACTACAGCAACTGCGACAACGACAATGGTGCTCGACACAGATCAAAGGCAGCGCGATGCTAGGTCAGCCGTTCTATGGAGATGGAGCGCCACAAGCGCAGATACTGAGCTCGACGGCCCAACGGTCTGCTTAGATTTTAACACGTTGTGCTTACAGCTACTTTATTCTAGGAAAAACGGATGTGCGAGACAATGATTGAGTGACATCCAAGCCGCCACAATACAAAAAACTACATCGATCTACGAGGAAAGACGGTGGACTGTCAAGGAGAAGCTACGCGACATGATACAGCGGTATTGCTATGAATGGGGCGAGTGGTCAGAGCAAGCCGAAGGCTACAAGGTGGTGTTATTCTTTTCGTATAGTACAGAAGCTATGCCGGAAGAGATCGCGTACAGACTAGCAACAGCAGCAAGGACGATGACGGTAACGATAAGCGCATGGGCGACGGTGACAAGTGTAGCAACGACGACGATGGTACTCGGTGTGGATCGACAGCCGTGCGAGGCACGATTTGCCGTTCGATGGAGACGAGGCGCAAAAAACGTGGGTACTGAGCTCGACGGCTCAGAGGTTCGTTTTGGTTTTGAGACACCTTACTTACATCTACGTTATTCTAGGGAAAACGAATATCTACGACGAGCAGCGACCACGATATAAGAGGCGACGGCGACTGCATTTGAGGCAGAGCGATGGCTGTGCGAGGAGAGAGTTGTGGTTTGATGGAGACAAGGCGCGAGGAGCGCAAGCGCTGAGCACGACAGCTCAAGGGTTCACTTTGAATCTGGAACGTTCTACTTACATTTACCTTACTCTAGGGATATTGGATGGTTGCGACGAAGTGCGACCAACGTCCTGGCAACTGCGATTCAAGAATCTACGGCGATTTACAAGCAAACGTCGCGCAGATGTACAGCAAGACTAGCGCAGCGACTATGGCTCGATCTACAACAGCAATCGCCGAGGATACGACGTCCGACGAGCATGGATATGGAGCCCGATTGCTCAAGTTTATATTTTTATTTCGCAGTGTTTTACTTACAGGTACCCTATTCTAGAGTAAATGACGACTTTAAAGGAAGATTGCAGCAGGTCACAGAGCGACAAGTACGAAGATCGCACGGAGGTACCGCGGACAAACGCGAAGACCACAGCTCGATCTGCGACAGTGATCCTCGAGGTTACGAGATCCGACAGACATGGGCACCAAGCACGACGGCCCAAGTTTTTATTTCAGTCGCGCGACTTTTTACTTATGGTTGCATTATATTAGAATAGACAACGATTCAGAAGAAACAACGTATCGACTAACAGAGCGACAAGTACGACGAGCACAGGCACAGAAAACCACAAGAGGAGCATTCGAAGTAATCCCACAGCCTTATGCGCAAAATCTCCTACGAATGGTGGCACAACAGCGGATTTCAGAGTCGCAACGAAATGCGCGGCATGCAAAGAGTATCGAGACTACACCGAGTGGGCTCGAAGGCCCGAGTTTTGTTGTTTTCTGTCAAGCGTTTCACTTACGGCTGCATCGTTTTAGAGAACATAATTTTTTACAGAGTGTTGACAAATCTTCGAGCAACGACGCACTTGCAGCACGAAGTGAATTGTTAGGTCGACACGCCATCGAGCAGATAGCGAAGGGAGACGCCGTCTCCGTGTTGGATATCGTGCAGAGACACAGCGGTGTCTCGTTTGGATTGGGAGATATATTGAACAAGTCGGGCACTATACATATAGTACACATAGCCTCATTGCCGCAAGGCGTGAGAGACCCCTCCGTCTACATCAAGGCCAACATCGAATCCGTAGGCTCGTCCACACGAGTTCTGCAAGCGTCGCATTTGATGGCACTGACGTCGTGGACGTCGACGAGCGAGTGCCCTTTCTGGAGAAGTTGTTCAACGCATATAATGACGCCCGAGGGATGTTCGGGTCCGGAGACAGCCAAGTAATCAGCGACAACAATGATCTGTTCGATTATACCTGTGTCGGGAACGTCGCACGCGCGCGCAGACTCACAGGGAATGAACTCGTCCCTCGTCCCTCTTACTCTTCTACCACGTCGAGCGAACCCAAGCTAGGCCTCGACAGCGTGACAACGAAGTCCAGCGAATCTTTATATCGTGCTCTCCCTCCCATATGTGCCACAACCAAATATCATCACACGATACATGGCTCCATGCGGACACTCAGTCCCTATGTCACACCACCACCCAACACGGAATCCATCCTATCTGCGTTCAGCACGCGATTCGACCCACATGAACTCATGGACTCCATCGTCCGTTCTCGAAGCGATGGACAAGCGTTCTTCATCACAAATGGAGAAGCGTTCGGTATCTTGGACTTTGCAGAGGTACACGACGGGTACGGGCGAAGACCATCGCACTTAGAGGTACAGGGTACATACGAATGGCTATGTGATGAGAGGAGGGTACAGCTTGTCATCGAACGATGGTCGTTTGAAGCAACAACGAACTTTCGATGGAGGAGATGCATAGAAGATTTACACGTAGAGCTTGACAGCTCATCCCTTCCCTTTTGTTTTGTGTCATTCCACTCACAGCTGTGTTACCATAGGAAAACCCGGTATCTGTGACGGAGTACAGTGACATACGAAGAGATACAGCGGACCGAAGAGTCGAAGTTGCACGAAGCAAGTCGGCAGTACTACCATGAATGGGGCGAGCGAGCAGGATACAGCGAAAGGGTACCTGACAATGGGTTTCAAGTAGACAAGCAGTGTAGCCATGCATCGAAGTTCACGACGAGGGAATGCCTGGCAGAACAACGACAACACGTGCGGAGCGTACCAAGCGACATGAGTTCATGCCCTGAGCCCGAGCGCTCGTTTTCGTCTTTTGTTTTCATGACATTTTACTTACGAGTCTACAGTGCTAAGATATGTGACGAAGTGCGGAACCACTTCCAACCCATTACTTCAGTCAGTTTCATGGCAACTACTGCAGCTTGGTTCAGTGCGTGACTGCAGAAGTCTGAAGGAGAAGAACAAGTCCGAGTAGACGAGAGGGTGTGTGGCATGCATGAAGCGTCCGAGTGACACAGCGAGCACAGCAGCTCGATGTTCAGTTTTACTTTGAGCTGCTTTACTTACGACTGCTTTATTCTAGAATACACGAAGGACTACGAAGGACTACGAAGTACAGGCGAAGTTTTATGTCACCTCGATGTGGATCAACTGCCAGATAAACAAAGTAGCACTCAACGCGTTCGAAGCGACATGAATTCACACCCAGAGCCCGAGCGCTCTTCGTTTCCTTTCATTTTTGTGACACGTTACTTACGGATGTTTAGTGTTAGGGTATTCGACAAGTGCGAATGCGAACGGTTGGCTATGATCAAGGGAGACTACCGAGTTGCGAAGACAAGCATCAACTATGAAAGCTTCTTGAGGCCGGTGTCAATGAAGCAGAAGCAGAGTCCCTCGAAGATGGAGGGGAGAATCTCGCATGCCGTGAAAGGTTGCTATGGGAGCAATATGTAGAGCTGGGACGAGCGCGACAGAGTGCAGACCTGAGGATGGCTGCACAGGAAGAGAAGCTCAGCAAAGGAGCTTGCAGGTTCAAGGTGACCAGGTCTGTTTTGTTTCAAACATGCTCTACCGCGAAGTACAGTGTCCCTAGCACGAAGTGTCCCTAGCACGAAGGGAAAGCCGATCGACAGGGGTGGATGGCTCGAAGCCGTTCATCGGCACTTAGTATCAAGACTCCGTCCACCTGGCTGCGAGGTGGAAGGCCGGAATTTGAGGTCGAAGCAAATTAGTGCCTGCACCTGCCAGGGTCGAAGACCTATCATTGAAGAGGGTTTGAGGATCTACAGACCTAAGGTGACAGCTTTTATTATAGTTCGAACATGTGCTACTTCGAGATGTTTTGTTTCTAGCAGTGAACAAGTAGTAAACGAAGATGGGCAACTCGAAGTCGCTCAGCGATAATTAGCACAAGGGATTCGGCCACCTGATGGAGTACCAGACGAAGTATGAGAAGTCAACCATGTGCACGTGCCGAGAGTCGGTGGTACGAGAATGAGAAGGACAGTATAGCGAAAGTCACGGTGAGTGTGTCGATATATAGTTTTCTTTTAAAATGAGTTTTGCTTCGAGCGATGTCGCTCAGCCGAGTTGCACTAATCCTCGGGTGATGCAGCTCACCCTGATGTATATTTTCGAGTTTCGTTGTTTTTTTCCCTTGTACTAGATTGTCTTAAGGACGAAAGGGAGTCAAGGCTGCAGGTGTACAAGGACGGTAAATATGCAACTGATCGGGAGTCTTTTTTTAGGTACATATATATATTCGAGATGCTTTGTAGAGGGCCAGAAAACTGCGCCTCGAGGAGCAGCCGCTACTCTACTCTGCACTCGATTTATTACTCACTTGTTCACATGCTCAGAGTTACCTCTGTGGTCGTTCAGTTGGAGGAGTTTGGGGGCTGTGGAGTGATCGAGGGTTGAAGGGGTCATCTGCGAGGAGGGTGAGGAGTTCGAGAAGCAGGGTGCATGTTCGAGAGGCCAGGTGGTGGTTCTGGGTGGAAGGAGCCATGTTCAAAGGTGAGAGGTTGAGAGGGTTGAGAGGGTTGATCTGCGAGGTTGGGAGCATGTCTTGGGATAGGAGTCAGCTGTGTTTGAAGGGTGCAAGGTTGGAGAGCGAAGGATATGCAGTGAAGTCGAGGGTGAGAGGGCGAGAGGTGTAGTGGCAGTGTTGAGGGAAGTAGAAGTGAGGATGAGGATGTCTGTGTGAGGAGGAGAGCAACTGAGGATGGTTGAATTCTAAACCACCCCTTGGATGTAGGGAATGAGTTCGAGTTCCCCAGGAGAATTTGTCTTGGTCAGGAGTTTAGGGGTTGAGGGACCTGTTTTGTTTCTTGCTTTTGTTTTTGTGTTTGTACCACTGGACTTAGTGGCAAGCAGCTGTATTGCTGACTAAGTGTGCACACTGTGTTTGCATGAGTTCAGTTTACTAACAAGCAATCCATGTCAGAGGCCCTCAGTAGTAGGGTGATATAGTCTTGCATTTTGGTGAGTTTTTGAGGTTAGAATTATTACTTTGGGGAGTACCCAAAGGGCCAGGAGGACTGACAAGAGATATTGGACAGACAGAGTTAAGTATTCTTTTGAGTTTGCATTTTTTTACAATTTTTACTACACTTCTTTTCTCCAGCAAGAACCTCCCTCTTGAGTTGAGCACAAATCTTGCCCATTACTGACAATTATTAATTCTAGGTAATATCTATTACCTATTCCTACACTGTCTTTATGTTTCATCAGAGGTACATCTTACTGTGGATGGGCCTGTCCATATGTTGTGACTCTATTAAATGATATTAGTGATGGGCCTGTCTTTATGATTTGACAGGGTACATCTTACTGGGGCTGGGCCTGCCCATATGTTGTGACAATATAAATAATACTACTGAGGGGCCCATCCATATATTGTGATGCTATACATGAGATTACTGACAGGCCCATCCATATGTTGTGACAATATAAATAATATTACTGAAGGGCCTGTCCATTTGTTATGACTCTATTAAATGATACTAGTGATGGGCCTGTCTTTATGTTTCAACAGGGTACATCTTACTGGGGCTGGGCCTGCCCATATGTTGTGATGATATAAATAATACTACTGAAGGGCCTGTCTTTATGTCTTGTCAGAGGTACATCTTACTGTGGACAGGCCCATCCATATGTTGCATAATACTACTGATGGGCCCAACCTTATGTTGTGACTCTATTAAATGATACTGGTGATGGGCCTGTCTTTATGTTTCAACAGCAGTACATCTTACTGTCGACAGGCCTGTCTTTATGTTGCAACAGGGGTATGGTTTATTATGAATGGGCCTGTCTAGATGTTGCAACACCATAAATGATATTACTCCTGGGCCAGTCCATATGTTGCCAACATTGTATTCTAATCATAGATGGGCCCATCCTTATGTTGTGACCCTCTCCATGTTATGATAGGTGGGCCCACCTTGATGTTGCAACAGGGGTGTAACCTACCATGACAGGCCCATCCATGTCTTACAGCAGCTCAGTATACTTAATTGGTCACAGGCCTGTCTAAATGTTTCAACATCCTTACCCACCACAGGCCCTCCCATCACATAGTGTAGTCACACATAGTCACAACACATGGGCAGCCTGTGTGCCAAAACACCAACACTTATATAGACCCCAAGACAGGCCCACCTAAATAGATTAGCCAGTACACATGGACAGGCCTGAGGGACTAAAGTGAGAGCAACATTTGGATGGGCCCATGACCAATTAAGAATACTGAGCTGCTGTAAGACATGGATGGGCCCATCCTGGTAGGTTACACCCCTGTTGCAACATCAAGGCAGGCCTGCCTATCATAATAAGGATGGGTGTGAGGGGAATATCATTTATGGTGTCACAACATATAAACAGGCCTGTTCATAATAAGCCATACCCCTGTCACAACATACAGATGGGCCTGTCAGTAATGTTGTTTCATAATGTCACAACATATGGACAGGCCTGTCAATAGTAAGATGTACCACTGTTGAAACATAAAGATGGGCCCATCACTTATATCATTTAATAGAGTCACAACATAAGGTCAGGCCCTTCAGTAGTATTATTTATATTGTTGCAACATATGGACAGGCCCATCCACAGTAAGATGTACCTCTGATGAAACATAAAGACAGGCCCATCAGTAATCTCATGTATAGCATCACAACATATGGACAGGCCCTTCAGTAGTATTATTTATATTGTCACAACATATGGGTGGGCCTGGCCCCAGTAAGATGTACCCTGTCAAAACATAAAGATGGGCCTGTCACTAGTATCATTCAATAGAGTCACAACATATGGATGGGCCCTTCAGTAATATTATTTATATTGTCACAACATATGGACAGGCCCATCCACAGTAAGATGTACCTTTGACAAAACATAAAGACAGGCCTGTCAGTAATCTCATGTATAGCATCACAACATATAGATGGGCCCTTCAGTAGTATTATTTATATTGTCACAGCATATGGGTGGGCCCAGCCCCAGTAAGATGTACCCTGTTGAAACATAAAGATGGGCCCATCACTAATGGATGTGGTATCCCTGGCACCCACTGAACAGTGGCTTTCAATGGACACCATGCTGGCATGAATCAGAGATGATTTGAGTGACCCAGATCTTGCAAGCTGCACCCGGGATGTATTTGGCATGAATCGGACTATTGCCAGCCATCCACCCATCCACATTGAGTGGATGTGGCATCCCTGGCACCCCCTCAACAGTGGCTTTCCATGCACACCATTCTGGCATGAATTGGAGCTGATTTGAGTGACCCAGACCTCACAAGCTGCACCTGGGATGTGCATATGTCCCATTAATCAGACTATTGCCAGCCTTCTGCCCATCTGTATTGAGCAGATGAGGTATCCTTGGCACCCACTCAATAGTGGCATTCCATGGACACCATTCTGGTATGAATCAGAGCTGATTTGAGTGACCAAGACCTCACAAGCTGCACTCAGGATGTATGTCCCATTAATCAGACTATTGCCAGCCTTCTGCCCATCTGTATTGAGTGGATGCAGCATCCCCAGCACCCCCTCAACAGTGGCTTTCCATGCACACCATTCTGGCATGAATCAGAGCTGATTTGAGTGACCCAGACCTCACAAGCTGCACCTGGGATGTATCTCCCATTAATCAGACTATTGCTAGCCATACACCCATCTATATTGAGTGGATGCAGTATCCCCAGCACCTGCTGAAGAGCAGCTTTCCATGGACACCATTCCAGCATGAATTGGAGCTTATTTGAGTGAGCAAGATCCTGCAAGGTGCACCCTGGATGTATGTGCCATT